TCAATCTTCTGGGATCGATTTATCACGTCTAGACAAGGCGCGATAAATCGATCCCAGAAGATTGATTGCTTACCGCTGGACCCGGAGGTAAGTATAGACGTACCCTGGGTGTGCGCGCGCTTCTACTAAATTAAACCAATTATTTACCTTGGGATTTTGCTCTTTATAGACGTACCAGAAAAGGCCTTCAAGAACCGATATGAAGAAGGTCCCTCCTGTGACAGAAATCAGGAATGGTTTCCATAAAGACTACTTTGCTGCAGCCAATGGGGTTCTGAACAATAAGAAAGCACAATAAGTACAGTAACTCAATACTACATTGTAGTATTTTTCACTTTTTCTAAATAAAAAGAGACTGAGTTACAAGACACAGTTTTAGTGTAAACTCTGACTCAGTTTGGTTACATTTATCAGGTCTTTGTACCAGACATTTATTAATGTATTGCTATTTAGATTTTAACTGTGTGTAGCTTTAAGTGCTTTGTCCAAGATCACCATCAAAATGAGAGAGGCCATGTGAGACATCATCCCCCTCCCACATGCAAAAAAAAGGTGGTACATTCATCAATCTCTAATGCTGACACAATGCCTTACAAAACATTTCACTGGGAAACCCAAAGAGTGGTCACATTTTCATGGTAGCCTTCAAAAGGTAGGGTTTTATTCAGACTAAAAGGTTTTGACACATCCTATGTACGTGGAGAGCCTCCAGAATACCTGTGTCATACTTTGCTGACTTAAGCTGAAAGGCAGCTGAGTGGTCAACCTGTTTTGACTAATTTAGTCAAGACCGCTTATGGAAATCAAACAGGATAGATAATTCATACCTGTGTCCAACTCCATTAGCACCCCCATTCTGCCACTTCACAGCCTCTCTCAAAACACACTCCATCATATGTCAGTCCCGAGGACATCAAACCTCCCTCCATCATCAGAGAAATTATTCTCATTTCTGGAAAATAATGCAACTAATGGCAGAATAATTAGTGTCATAGTCCCTGTGCCCCACATTTACAACTTCAGCATGCACAGAAATATGCACCACACATTTGCTTTATGCACATAGGGCCTAATCCAAAACTTATTGAAGACAACGGGAGTCTGTTGACTTCAGTGGATTTTGGACCAGGCCTACAGTCTCTTTGGCCTTGCCTAGATTAGGGTTTAAAGGTGTGATGTTAGATGCAGTTACCTAACTCCATTTAATTAACTCCTTTGAGAACTCTAGTCGAGACATTGTACTTTACAGTGTAAAGCAGTTGTACTTTAGAGTGTGCTAGTTGGTCCAGTTAAAGCTAGGAGGAATTTCTGAGTAAATTCTTTGACCACTTGTCACCAAAGCAGAGTTGACAGGAAATCCCATGATTTTTAATTTAATTTAAAAAATAACGTAGTGAGGACAAGCCCTTAAAAGCCACAAAGAGTCTCAAATGCATGTGAAGGAAAATACCAATGCACAAACAGCCTGCGTGTGAATCAAATTCCCATGCTATACGAGAGGTCTCTGGAAAAGAAATTGAACCTTAAAAGGAGTGAATCCAACTCTTTTCCAAACTAAACAAACTCCTGCTGCCGGCGCCAGGCCCACCGCTAATCCCCCGTGCTGCCCTGGGCCTCCCTGCCCTGCCGCTGACCCCTCACAGCTCCTGCCCCTGCAGCCCTTGAGCGCAGTTCCTCTCTCCCCTCTCCCTCCCCCCGCGGAGAGGCCAGCCCCCCAGCAGAGTGGCCGCTCCCCCCCACAGGGGGGGTGCAGGTGCTCGGGCTGCATAGGGCACCACCATAGGTAGGGCCAACCCTGAGTCAGATCCCTGATTTGGACCTCTTTTAGTTATGACTTGGACTGCTTGAATGCAACCATTATACTGAAGCAGAAGACTGAAATCCTCACTGCAGCACAGACAGCTCATTTAAGCAGCCTTGTTACTGTGCAATGTCTTAATAAATCAGATGAGCAAAACTAGCTGCAGTAGTAGGGTGACCAGACAGCAAGTGTGAAAAATTGGGATGGGGGGGGAGGGGTAAATAGGAGCCTATGTAAGAAAAATACCCAAAAATCAGGACTGTCCCTATAAAATTGGGACATCTGGTCACCCTATGCAGTAGTAAAGTATTTACATAAATGGCACTGGAATATCTTCTAACTCCTGCTCATTGCATCACACAGCCACATTCTTGCTCCCCCTTGAGCGGATGTCTTCATTCTGTCCACAATGAAAGTCTCACCCTTCCCGACACGTTAAAAAAGAAAAGAACAAACAAACACAGAATTAATCAGCATGGATGAATAGCTTAAGTTGGCACTTCAGAGAGACCTTGCTCGGCAGTTCTCTCCAATAAGAAGTGAGCAACTAGTCAATCGGATTCAAATGGGAAGTTAGAGACAAGGTGGGTGAGGTAGTATCTTCTATTGGTGGGAGAGACACTTTCCATTTCCAGAGAGCTCTTTTTCAGGGCACTAAAAGACATCATCCCATCCATCTTGTCTCTCCAATATCCTGGGACCAACATGGCTACAACAACACTGCAAACATCACATGGGAAGCGTGAGCTCTTTAAATGTGGGTAAAACTTTGGAAGACCTTGCAGGTGTAGATTTTGTATGAGAAATGTCTCCTGCTGTGATGGGCACAGACAAAAGCAGGTCAACTGACTAGATGCTGGAGAAGGCAGCTGGTCAATGAATAGAAGTAAATTGAAATGATGGATTATTAGAGATTTATGAGCTAGTGCCTAGGCACCACTTGGCACCAAAGCAGAGTTGACAGGAAGTCCCATGATTTTTCATATAGTCACAGTTGTCACTCTGCCTCTCAGACATTACAGGAAGTAATTTTAGCCTCATATCAGGAGCAAGATTCCAGAATCAGAAGGCATAATTATTAATTGGGGTGTCGTGCAAGTTAATCTCAGACACACGATAGAGGTGGAGCAATGGGAAGAGGTGTTTTGGCCCAATATGGAATCCTGAGTTTAGTCTGAATAGAATCCATAACCTTTGGGTGCAGACAGCATGAATATGTTCCTAAACATTCATTTGACTGGCAGTCTGGAAAACATCAGCATTCAATGGTTAAAAGTTTTACTCTGAAAACCAAACCCAGATAAGTTTAAAGATTGTCTTTTGTTTCGTTGAAGCCTAATTTTAAAAAGGAAAACAACAACAGATTGCCTTACTTGAAAATGTTCAAAGGGCTGGAAAAAAAAATACAAATATACAAAAGCATCACCTTACCAATCCAAACCACCAGAAAGACTGGAATCAGGTATATTCTGAGTTCTTTACACGTATTTTAAACACCAAAATGCTGCAACTTTGAAAAACAAAAAAGGTGTCGACTTTTTAAATTGATTTTCCTGTAACACTTAACATTGTAAATAAACAAAAATTTTACAAAATCAGTCTTTTCTTTGTTATTTGAGGCATAAATAGCTGGGGGACAGACTATCTGAGGCAATCTTTTCCTGGAACTTGGACAGAGAGAACTGTTTGATAGACATTCACCTGGGTGCAGATGGTCTGAGAAAGGCCCTCCACAGCTTCAAGTACCTCTGCCCTTGAGCAAGTTTCATCGAGCAAACGTTTTAGGGCAATTGTTTGTTATGCTTCCCCTTGATGTCAGTTTTTCAAGGGACGCTACCATTATAATTGTGAATGGGTGGAGTTCCCAACCCCACTCTGCACATATGAATTAGCATTCAAAGTAAGCACACGCACACGAGTGTCCAAACAGAGGGGGGTCATTGCAGTTCCACTGTAGAGGGAAGGCAGGATGGTAAGAGCTCATGCAGGTGGTTGGCACCCCCTGCACACCATGGGAGCTCCCAGCAAAGAAGCCCATTGTTGAATCTAGCGTGCGGGGTGTTGAGATGCACTCTCCCTCTGTTTGGACACTTGTGTGCATGTGCTTACTTCGAATGCTAATTCATATGTGCAGAGTGGGGTTGGGAACTCCACCCATTCACAATTGAACATATCTCCATTAGCACAGTATGGGACACACAATGCCACTTTCACACAAAGTGGTGACATATTGCGTGGCAAAGTACCTTCTCCTCCTCAGCAGGCTCAGTCCTTTTCAGCCTTGGAGACACAGGCTTGGGCAAGGCAAATCCTTACCGGTAGCACAGGGTCCAGCTATTCCTTTCCCCAGTCAGTCCCTTGTGATTGTTTTTCTTCCCTTCTGGGGAGGGAGTGTAGCCTTCCTTCCTGGAAGGGTTCAGTGTCTTGCTGCACCCAGCCTACTGGCAGCTTCCCTGCTTCTCTCACCCCCCCCCCTTACTTCCACACAGGGGAGGGTTTAAAAAGGTCTCAAGCAGGTGGAGCCAGCTGAACCTAATTAGTTCCCTGGTAACCCCTTTTCCAGCTGAACCTTATTTCCCCATGGTTCTCTCTCCTCAGTGGATAGGAAGAGGCCTTTTAACCCTATGGGACTAATTACTAACCCCCCACCCCCTTTGTAGCTGTTTGTCCTGGGTTTACAACAATTGCAACACTGTCACGTGATCAAATCTTGTCAGTCTCTGAACATCCTTCCTCCTCCCACCTCACCATTATGGTCAATTCACATGCAATTTTAAGTAATTTCTCTACCTCAGACCAGCTGAATATGAAGTCTGACAAGCCCAAAGAGACCCCAGACCTATTTAATCTGGCACCACATTCATCAACTCCATGGGAACAAAGGAAGGAGATCTCCTCCCGCACGCTCACCCCCAAACACACTACAGAGCAGCAACAGCGTTGTTTGTCACTAACCTAGCCTAAAGTTTCTACTGCCTTTATCCCTCTCCGCTCATGGAGGAACAACTCTACATCCAACAATGGACTTCTTTGCTGGGAGCTCCCATGGTGTGCAGGGGGTGCCAACCACCTGCAGGAGCTCTTACCATCCTATCGTCCCTCAACAGCGGAACAGCAATGATCCCACTGTGTTTGAGGCCCTGCCTGCCTACAGAGGATTTGGGTCTAAGAAATTGCTTTTTCTTTTTTATTGTCAGACTGAATGAGCCTCAGAGTAGACAAGTGTCCTGGTTAGACAAACAGCTGCCAAAGCATGTGTCATGTATTGCAGTTAGGAATAAGTACTACAGTGGGACAGTCTTTCACCTCACTTCAGAATGCTTTTGTAATCTACGCCATTCATTTACTACAATAGTTTTCCCCCTGCATTTTTTGTTACCTAGACTCATAGACTTTAAGGTCAGAAGGGACCAGTATGATCATCTAGTCTGACCTCCCGCATGATGCAGGCCACAAAAGCTGACCCACCCCCTTTCCCTTGACTCAGCTGTTGAAGTCCCCAATTCCTGTGATTTAAGGACTTCAAGTCGCAGAGAATCCTCCAGCCAGCGACCCCTGCCCCATGCTGCGG